TAAATAAACGTAACCTGTGTGCACACGCTGTAATAGTGCTCATTCCTGCAATTGCATTAGCAAAAACACGTGTTGTTTGATATAATACTGGTTTTTATTGGCTTGAATACATTTTGTTAAGCCTGTGGACGGAGTGAGGCTTAAAGGCAGGATACATTTTTAAGACAAAATATTTCAGATCAATACTTAGACAAATGAATCTCTGATTCCACAACAATAGACTCTCTGGGCTAAATCCTGAGAGGTCCTAGGAACCTGCAACTCTCAGGAATTTCCTATGTCCATGCTACCTGTCCTTACCTGGGTCCTGCAGTAGATTTGACTTCAAGCCACCCTGGAACTTTGCGAGCTAAAGAAACTATGGAACAGAGAGAATCCTAGCAGAAGTCATCTCAAGAAGAACAAGTTGTTCTGAAGTGTTATTGGCTAGAGGAGGTAAACACAATACCAGCAGAGCCCAGCGGTGTAATTCGTAAACTGTTCTAAGCAATGCCCTCAGTCTGGGGTCACTTGGCTGCATCGCTCGGTTCCATTAGAATACATTGTAACTAAGTATTCCTTTCAAAAGTGGCCTTAGAGGCTCCATGGCACCGGTAAGCTAGCCACTCGATTGCCAGCCCTGACACTAAAGCTGCCATTCACTAACAGCTTCTTAAGACAGTTTTGCTCTTTCCTCTCTAGTCTCCTCGCCATCCTCTGCTCATTCCACTATCCTCCCATGAGCCACATTTGATTCTTTCACAGCATACTAGGGGGGTCAGCATCCCGCTCAGCACACCTCAGGCCAGATGGAGCGGCTTTCTGGTTGGCGGTCATTCCCGAAACCACCCTCCTTAGTCATAGGGAGGAGGGGAGGAGCCTATGCCAACTCAAATATAGACACTGGAGTGTGCTGCTGAAGCCTGAAAAGGGCTTCAGATTCCTTCACTTTGGCACACCTACCACTTTCCCTCTAGCCCTCCGCAGAACTCGTCCTTGTGCTGGAAGTGTGTAGGACGGCTCTCTTTAGTGACTCTTACTGTGCTGTATTGTTCTGCAGGAGACTTCAGTGGCCTGTTAACTGAATCTGATGGGCAGGAAAGAGCATTTTACTTAGCTGGGTTGCAGCACTTCTTAAAAACGTAGCTCACAGAACGTACGTGGTCATGTGTGTTTCAAGTTTTATACCTGAGGTAGCTTTCCATGCACAAGGAAATGGAGCCTGCTGGTGGGAGATGCAGAATGAATGAGGCCACAGAACCTGCCCAAATGCAACATCCAGTTCTCTGTGGCTTTCAGAGGTGTGAGTGGTAATGAGTGATCCCATTTACATTAGTGTAACTCTGTGGGACCTAAATGGGATCACTCTACATTTATACAAGTATAAAACTGGGCAAAATGTGGCCCGAAACCTGTCTATATTAGTGAAAAGCTCAACGTGTTTGGAAACCACTTTTAATGGAGGCCCTATCTATGCTGCAACTGGATTTTTCTAAACAGTTGGCAACACAGTGGTGATTTCCAGGCTCATTGTGTCTCAGTGATTTCCATATCAGCTCTGCGTAGTTTACAAGTAAAGAGATGATTTTTCTCTCACTCAACCATGCAAATGCAACCATGGATCAAACTGTCAAGCTGGTTTCTGTCTATTACGTGCCTCCACAGCAGCAATAAAAAGTTCCTCAGGACCAATTCTGCACTAGTTCCTGTACAACCACACTGTCTTCAGTAGATTTAGATAGGGCTGGAATTTAATAAACAATCCTGTCGACGATGCACAAGGAGGCATAAGATCCAGCTCGTACACATAGGTGTTTTGGCTCTGACAGCCTAGCAGAAGTTCCAGATACTCAGATACAAGTCAGCCCTTATAAGAAGAGAGCGTAGATGAATAGTAATCAAATCTTACTTTTGTCACTAACGTCAGCCGTCAGGGATTCTGATACACAGCGTGCACATCTCTTGGGTAACAAGGTACCATTCTGACATAGTCGTTTCTCACATTAGAACCATACTTCTACATAGGAATTGCCAGACTGAGTCAGACCCAAGGTCATTCTAGTGCAGAACCTGTCTCCGGCAGAGGCCAGCACTGGATGCTTCAGAAAGAAGGTGCAAGAAGCTTCACAGTAGGTCAATATGGGATAATCTGCCCCCCCGTGAAAGTCATGTTGTAATCCCTAATAGCTAGGGATTGTTTTAAGAAACTGCAAGTGAAAGCTGTACACTCGATTTAAGATTATTCTTAAATGTTCAGGTTGAAGCTTCGCAGGAGACTGGGAAACATGAAAGCCAAGAATAACTGGCTGTTTTCAAATAGCTTGTGGATTTAGCTTGCAATATGCATTATTGGAAAAACAAACAAACATTCTCTATTTCTGAGCAGAATTTGGCCCTTTGTTTTGGGGTCACCATTCTCCTTGGCATGCATTTATAAAGCCACTTTGGTGGGAGTGTGGTCACTGCGAGCGGTTCCGTACCCAACGAAGTCTTGGGTCTCATCTTGGGTCTCATCCGTAAAACGGACTGAAGCAAAGTAGCCAGCTGCAAGTGGAAGCTGCTGCAATGTTATCCTGCAGAGGTTTTCGATGGCTGGCAGGTTTCCAAAGCAAATGAAACGTTACCCATCCACCCACCACCTCCCGGTTTGCTGAAAAACATTTAAAAACAAGATGGAAAAAATAGTATATAGCAGCATGTAATTATTCATTATCTCTGCAAGTATTCACTTATTTATTTAGATTTCAGTCTTATTAAACTCCACACCAAAGGAAGCCTATCCAAAGCTCTAGGAGCCCTCAATGCCTATTTAAAAAACAGAAGACGATTGGAGATACAAAGTAAAATTTAATCAAAGAAAAAGCATTTCTTTCTCTCCCCCTCCTCCCCCCGGCCCCACAACATTTGATGGCCTGTCGTGACCAGTGCAGCTTAAAACTCCAATCACACTCTTAAAATTTAAGAGAAATATTTTCCTAGAAAGAATGGAAAGAAACAAATGCTCTAGAAGGGACTTCACTTCCTCCAGTCGCTACTGTACTCCAGAGTTTATTGGTAAGATGTACAGATTTACTAACATGATACATTAGGAATTTAAACCCTTTGTTTCTCTAAACTCTGCCCTGAAACAATGCCTGGGTTCTAATTTTTGTTAGCACTAGTTTTCATTTTTAACATTGATTTTTATAACCCTGTCATGACAGCCATGACATGGAAGGTGAAACCTAAAACAAAGGCTGAAATAAGAGGAAAAAAACATACAGTGAGCCTATAAACCAGAGATACAATGGCACTGTTGAATCATTATAGGAGAATGACACAGAGGGATATGCCCATGTGATAGTATTTGATACATTACAAACCAGTTACAGACCTAAAAGTCGCAATACTACAACAAAAAAACTTCAAAAACAGACTCCAACGAAAAACTGCTGAACTGGAATTAATTTGCAAACTGGACATCATTAAATTAGGCTTGAATAAAGACTGGAAGTGGAAGACACAAAGTAAAACTATTTCCCCATGCTTATTTTTCCCCCTACTGTTACTCACACCTTCTGGTCAACTGTTGGAAATGGGCCATCCTGATGATCACTACAAAAGATTTTTTTTTCTCTCCTGCTGATAATAGCCCACCTTAACTGATCACTCTCGTTATAGTGGGAATGGCAACATCCATTGCTTCATGTTCTCTGTGTGTATATATATCTATATCTATATCTTCCTACTGTATTTTCCACTGCATGCATCCGATGAAGTGGGTTTTAGCCCATGAAAGCAAATGCTCAGATAAATTTGTTAGTCTCTAAGGTGCCACAAGGACTCCTCGTTCTTATTGCTGATACAGACTAACACAGCTACCACTCTGAAACCTTAAATATTTGATGCTATCTTTAAAAAATTATTCATCAGTCCATTCCTTAGCTTTACAGTTCTACTCAGACTCTCTCATCCTGGAGGATTCCAAAGTGCTCTGCAAATTATGGGGGCATTCCTGTAGTTGTCCTGCTGAAGTCAGTGGGAATTTTGCCTGAGTAAGGACTGCAGGAGTGAGAGGAGATTTATACATTCAGGAGCACTAAAATGCAGCAATCAACTGGTGCATTGCACAGTGTGCAACAATGGGGTTGGATTGTGGAAGGAGAAAATTTTTGACCAAGGGCAAATTTCTACTCTTAAGAATAAGGCCAGGGGCACTTTAATATCCACACTGAGATGACATGATCTTACTTTTTAAGGTCTCGTCTATACATAATAAACTGCATAAAATTGGGGGAGCGGGGGAGGGAATTTAAACTTTGGAAGGGCAGAGTCCAAACTTGCCAGGATTTGACCTTGTGGTTCCAGGCAAGGTGGGCACATCAAGTGTCAGATTTAGATCATTGTGCCATCCCCTTCTGTCTCTATTAGAAAGAACAAGGATGGGCTTGAACCAAAACCTGGAACTTCAGAAGGGTTTAAAAAAAACAAAAAAAACCCTGGGTCTGATTATAAATTTTGCAAATGGCAGAACTCAATAAGCTGAATTCAAATCCCAGATCTGAAACATGGAGGAGAAACAGGCCAGATCTCCTTCTTAAGTTCAGCTAAATGCCACTGATGACATAGACCAGTGATTTCCAAGCTGTGGTCCGCGGACCCCTGGAAGACTGCAGATTATGTCTAAGATTTCCAAAGGGGTCCACACCTCCATTTGAAATTTCTTAGGGATCCGCAAATGAAAAAAGGTTGAAAACCACTGATTTAGGTTAACCTCTTGTAGAGCTCATTAAGGTGATGTTGATAGCTAATGTTATTAAGATCTGAAATAATTTGTTCTTATATTCAGAGAAGACTAAGGGGTAGAGGATTTTAGGAGAAAACTGCAAGATGAGGAGGAGCTTCCAAAAGCAAGCGTCCAGTTGTGGGGTGTTACATCAATAGACTGTCTGGGGAATTTACACACACATTCATAGTGCAAGTGGCTTCCTGGCTTTGGTTTAGAGCTCATGTGTCCTGTTTCCTTTCTACTCTTCCCTCAGCTCATGTGTTCTTCGGTCCAGAAAGCCCTATTTGAGGAAGAGGATCAAGTGAAGAAACTGCAGCAGAAGGTGGCAACCTTGGAGAAACGCAACAAGCAACTGCGAGACCGGGTGAAGAAAGTCAAGAGGTCCCTCCGGCAAGCCAGAAAGAACAACAGGCACATGGAGCAGATAAACCGAAAGCTCAGTGAGAAGCTCTCCTCTGCAGGAGGTCAAATCCCGCATATTAACTCTTTAAAGCAAGAGAACTCTCATGCTACCTACCTTAAAGTATAATGCAAGGTTTAGGGTACAAGCCAATGATATTGGTGACTTAGGGCCTGATCTCATGCTCCTTACACAGCCAAATACTCCAGTGGGAGTTTTGCCTGCATTAGAGTGCAGGATTTGGCCCTCATACCTTGTCTACACTGGCATTTGAACCATGTATGTAAAACAAATTGGAACTCTGTTTAGATACAGTTCTAGATAAACAGGATCAACACCAGATTTGGCTGGACACTAGACTGGACCAAGCTGTCTGAAGAGTGCTTCCAAAGAGTCTGTTTGAGCCTTACGGGGAAAGCAGCATCAGTACGCTTTGGGTCCATTTTCACTGCCCAGCCTGGCAATATTTGAAACCAGGTTACCTGGACCTGTGTCTAGGATCGGATCCAGCTCTCACAGTCAATGGGAGTCTTTGCACTGACTTTCCATGGGAACTGAGTCAGGACCATAAAAAAGTAGATTTCAGATCCAGTTTTCAAGCATGCTTCAATTTTTAGGGTAGACAAGGTCTCCTGTCTTGTAATCACTGTTTTGAGACATGATGGAGGTTGCTGGGCAACCTCATTTACCTAGGTTTAGATACTGTAAAGATCACATCAATATCAACAGGGCATTAAAATTAAGGTAGTTTATATGTGTATATATTTTAAAATCCTATAGAAAATATTTTTATTACACATTTGATATAGTCTAATTTCTTAAAGTATGAAGTAAATCCTGTTTCTTTGAGGCAGTCATCCCTTAAAATATATTTCCCAACATTCCTTCTTGGGCACTGCCAAAAGAGATTAGAAACTGAATTATTAAAACGGCTTAGGTTAAGGCAGCAATCTCATTGGTTGACAAGGATGCCAACCTTGTGTGTATATATATATATATATCAGTTCATGGCTTGGAACTTGTTTGCCAAATCACCCCTCTTCATATCAATAAGCCATGGAAGAGTAGTGAAAAAAAATAAAGGAAGGCATTCGGTGTGTTTCCCCTTGTTGGTTTGTTTTTTTAATATTTATTTTATAATCAATTTATGTGACCTGAATACAAATACGCTTAATACTTGCAACTTTAGGACAGGGGCAGACAGACTTTGCCCTACCAAGGGCAACGTTGACAATTTGCCAGGGCTACACCTGACTTGCATAAAAATGACCAGATAGCAGCTTATCTTTATTCCAGAGATGGGGCCCAGGGAGGAATAGGTCCCTGCATGCAATGCTTGATCTGAACCCCCAAACCTTACTAGACTATCTAGATCCTAGCGGAACATTGCATGCTGGGACATGTAGTCGCCACAAGCTGCACCTCTGTACCGAAGAGAAGAGCAACCACAGGCCGCATTGGGCTCATGGACCATCCTTGCATTAGGACCTAGAGGGAGGCTGTACCAGCTTTTATACAATCATTTGCATCAAACCAAGATGAACTTGAGACTTAACTGTTGCTTTGGCTTCTAGGAAGCAGCTGAAGCTTAATTATCTTCCAACTCTGCTCCGCTTGGAAACAGAAGCATATATTTTTCTCCTGAAAAATACTGGCATTTCTTAAAAGTCTGACTCTTCTATAAGCTACAGCAGTTTCAAAGCATCTGCCTGTCGAGTAGGCATAATTCAGGTTGAAATAGTACAATTTCTGGACAACTACTGCAGACCGGAGGTTTTCTTAGCATCCTAAAAACCATCAATAGATTTTTATTCAGTCAAAAATAAAATCCAGAGGAAAATATCTAGGTTTTGTGTTGTTTCTATTTTTAATCTGTTTGAATAAAATTAACTGTTTTCTTGGCATTCGTACTAAAATCCTGTGTTTACTTTTTTAAAATAAAAGTGTTCTTTGTTAATCACGTATGTTTAGTAAGGCCGATAAGATGTTACTAATACAACTAGATTGTCGTTTTTAAATGAAAAGGTGATTTTCAATCAAACCAAAATTTTGCAGAATATCTTTGTTTTGGTCAAAACTTTTTGTTTGTCAAGAAGAATACTGAAATTTCTCATTCTGTTTTGGTGGGGGAAATCCCACTCTTTCATTTTTAAACTTTTTTCTCTCCTTTTCTAGTGGGGAAAAAGTATAAAAAAGCAAGAGTGTTTATTTCCCTCTAGGAATTTCAAACATTCATTGTATGTTTGATCAGTTGATTGATGAATTTTTCATTGAAAAAACAAACAAATTTGTGCAAGACAAAACATTTTTCTTTTGAAATTTTTCACTTTTTTTTTTTTTTGGACCAGCGCTAAAGATGTGGTCTAGCAGCCTGAACACTACACTAGGAGGCAGAAACTCCTTAGTTCTGATCTTGGCTCTGATCCTGACTCCCTTCGGGATCATATAGCTTAGACAAGAGTTTTTAGAAAATTGTGTGTGCACTTTGCACATGCAGACACATGCATACAATTCATGCCTTGTTTATACATGGTTACTACTGTCACACTTTGAATCCCGATAACTAAGCGTACCAATTTGGGTGTGTAATTGTAGCACACATGATTCATAGAGTTTAAGATCAGAAGGAACCATTAGATCATCTAGGCTGGGTGTAATTTAATGACCTGCAATATACAGGAGGTAGGTTACCCCTGTACTGAGCCCAATAACTTGTGTAAATGATCTTAAACTCTACCTCATTCTCTCCTCTGTAAAATGAGGATACTACTACTTACCTATCTGGCTAAATAGTGAGAATTACAAACGTTACCTAGACTTACTGAAGTGATACGTATTATTAGCAGACTACATCAGAGTATGCAGATACTGGGAGATCCACATTTCACAAATACCCACTAGCTTCCTAGCTTGCATTACTTGTGAGATATGTGCATGCACTGTATTTAGTAAGGGCTGATACGTAGAGTCCAGTGATGTGTGTGTGTCTCTGCATTAAACAGAAATGCACTGTCACTATGCTCATGGTCATGCACTGTGGTTGCAAGGGACAGAGTTTGTAATGCATGTAATGACAAAAGTACTGTCCCTTTCCATCTGAGGAAGGTACCTGGTGGAAACATGTAAAGCCAGATTGTGACTGGCCCTTACACAGGTACACAATATGGGTGTAACATCCTGCCTAAGTGTGAGTGTCCATCTCCAGTGGGTGATCCACAGAAGATAAGAGCATACTACTACCAGATAAAGGAGGTACTCCTTTAGCTCAAGGAGTAAAGCCGGCACTAAAGGTCTTGGGTTCTTTCCCTGATGGTCGTTAGACATTGGTAGATTTGAAATGTTCAACCCCTTGGCTAGGTGTCAGATTATTACATAGGCATAAGGAGCAGGGAACAGGCACAAGTGCAGTGCTTGGTAGTGGCAGTGTGCACACTAGATTTCAAATTCACAGGCTGACAACCATCAGGGCTAGAACCTCAAGAACAGTGGAAAGCAGGTTGTCTGCTGCTGCCACGTGATCACGGTGGGGACCTCACCCTCCTAAAAGCTGGAGCAACGCCCCTCCTTTCGGGAACACAACACTTCCTGGAAACACCTCAAGGGTAGTGCAAATTCTCCTTCTTTCCAGCCAAAGCTCTCAAATGTACTGTATTTTGTGGGATGTGCTACATTTCAGTCAAATCAGGCTCCCTGTCTCACTAATTTAGGAAGTAATCCACAGATGAGAGCACCTGTCCCCATCAAAATAGCCCTTAGCCTGCAGGAAGGTGCCCTGGAATAGGATCCAGGAGACCACAAGATCAAGCCTCACCTTTTTTACTGACTGGTGTTAATAATGTGCACTTCATACCCCTGTACTGTGGATGTGAGGATCCCAGGTTTAACCCCTGCTGACAACTTCCATGGGGGACCTTAAAATTACTGTACTTCAGTAGCACCTCTGAGCCCCGGTTATAAGCCAGGACCCCCTTGTGCTAGGTGCTGTACAAACACAGAACAAAAGGATGATACAGTTGCTCCAAGAAACTTCCATTTTTCCATAACTTGAATTGTGTTGGTGTGGGGAACAGCATGAATTGAATTTGGGGGTAGCCTGATCACTCTCTTTCTCCCCCTGACACCCCAAGTAGAGAACTCCCCCCCCACAACAATCATTTAACAGCCAGGGCAGGGACCCCCTCAAACCTCTGCCCACATCTGTAGCAGATTACAGAACCATTTCATTTGATTCACACAGTGAGGAGCAATCCGTAACAATGGGTTTATGGTTTAAAATACATATGAAATTTATCAGCTATGGTGCGACGTGTGACAAAACCCAGGTCTTACTTATGTCAGTCTTTGGTCACATGTCAATGGTTTGTGTCACTCAGTCTTTGGTTGGTGACACTCATCAGATTTGAAGGGGAGGCCACCAATGATTGGCCCCAGATGGTATAGCATGAAAGTTCCTCCAGATTTAGAGAACATGTCTATTGACACAGCCGAACCAAGTGAGCTGGATGATTCCCTCTCATAAACCACAAGCATCATCATGATTTAACAACCCCACACAGGTGGCGACAAGCAAATCATGCAGCAAAGGAGGAGGAATTATGGAGGACAGTGTTAGCAGCTTTCTCTGGATTGCATCAACAAAGAAATCTAGGCAAGACAATGATTCCCATATTTCTGATTATTAATTTGGGGGAACAGCCACGCTCTGTTTCTGTGTTGGTTTATTTATTTTATTGGAGTGCGGGGGACAGAATAATTGTGTTCGGGAACTAGGGACAACAGTCCAGCTTCTGGTATCAATTGCACTCCACAGAATAATTCCACTCAAGTTAGATTTATCCTGTTGCAATGGCGATCACAATCTGGCCCAGTATTTTTAGGGTTGATCGTAGAATCATAGAACAGGAAGGGACCTCAAGAGGTCATCTAGTCCATCCCCTGCACTCCCTGGCAGGACTATTTATCTAGACCATCCCTGACTGGTGACTGTCTAACCTGCCCTTAAAAACTTCCAGTGACAGAGATTCCACAACCTCCTAGGCAATTTATTCCAACGTTTAACTACTCTGACAGTTAGGAAGTTTTTCCTAATGTCCAGCCTAAACCTCCCTTGCTGCAATTTAAGCCTATTGCTTCTTGTCCTGTCCTCAGAGGTTAAAAAAAACAATTTTTCTTCCTCCTCCTTGTAACAACCTTTTACATGCTTGAAAATTGTTACCGTGTCCCCCTTCAGTCTTCTCTTCTCCAGACTAAACAAACCCAATTTTTTCAATCTTCCCTCACAGGTCATGTTTTCTAGACCTTTAATAATTTTTGTTGCTCTTCTTTGGACTCTCTCCAATTTGTCCACATCCTTCCTGAAATGTGGTGCCCAGAACTGGACACAATACTCCAGTTGAGGCCTAATCAGAGCGGAGTAGAGCGGAAGAATTACTTCTCGTGTCTTGCTTACAACTCTCCTGCTAATACATCCCAGAAGGAGGTTCGCTTTTTTTGTTACACTGTTGACTCATATTTAGCTTGTGGTCCACTATGACCCCCAGATCGCTTTCTGCAGTACTCCTTCGTAGGCAGTCATTTCCCATTTTGTATGTGTACAACTGATTGAGGCTTCCAAAATGGAGTACTTTGCATTTGTCCTTATTGAAGTTCATCCTATTTACTTCAGACCATTTCTCCAGTTTGTCCAGATCATTTTGACTTTTAATCCTATCCCAATAAAACCCCAATTTATCCTGTTCACAGAAATATTAAGTCTCCCGGGTCCAGAGAATCCCCCATCACAGGGACAAAGGTTTCCATTCCAAAAAGGAAAAACATCCAGAGGCCTGACTGAAAGAACATGACAGAACATGGACAGCAGATGAACCTGACAAAGCCTGTCAACTGGTTCCAGCAATAAATCTAAGTAATTGCTATAAATTTCCACTTTCCCCCCATCTAACCACAAATTATTTTAATTTCAGTCACAGTAACTTTGATATTTCACCCAAGCTCAAAGCACTTGCCACACAAAACACTGTTTCCAACATCAGTTTTAGTCTAGGCACATTTGTGTTGCCAAAAATGATAAGACAAAGAGCAGCAGTGTGGTCCAGTGGGAATGAGGAGAGCTGTTATTTATATTACAGTAGCATGTAGAGGCCTCAGTCCATACTGGGATCTCATTGTGCTAGGCACTGTACAAACCTTCATAGGACACAGCCCCAACTTCAAAGTACTTACAATCTAAATACAGAGACAAAGGCAAACAGGAGGCAACGAGAGCTGAAATGATTCGCTCAAGGTCACATAGCAGGTTAGTGGCAGAGATGGGAACAGAGCACAGCTCTCTTGAGTCCCAATCTAGTGCCCTGCCTACCAACCACACGCTCTCTCTAGCCGAGTTCCTATCCCAGCATTGCCATTGACCTGATGTATGACCTCGGGTAAAATCACTTCACCTCCCTATACCAATTTTGAATGGGCCCGGGTCAATGTGCAGCCAGCCTTCACACCTGGGGCCAACAAGATTGCCCCACATGCAGCTGTGCCCAGAGACAGACAGTGTCACATGTCATGGATGACTGCCCTCGGATAAGGTTTGCTGGTGGTCTGAGTGCTCTGAACTTGGCTGATGAGGCTGCCACAAATTAGCTTGGCAAGCGCCTCATCTGATAAGACGATAACTTCCCTATGTCCTCAGTTTTCCCAGCTGTAAAAAGGGGACAGTGACACTGAAATTCAGTGACTTGTGTCACGCAGGAAGTCAGAGTAGATGATCTGGTTCATCCAGGCCTGAACATCCAGGAATAGTTCTCTTGATTCTGCGCTCGCTTTATTCCCCCTACATCCTTTAGTTTCTCTGTGTCTCCAGATGGGTGCACCTCAGCTGTTTATACAAATGGTCTGAGTTCTGGAATCCACATCCCAGAAATGCACTAACTAAATCTGTGACAAGGCTAGA